AAAGGTAATTGAAGTCATTTTAATTTCCTAGGATTTGGTTCAAAATCTACCAACAAAGCTCTTTTTTAAATTTCAGTGGATTTGCTTCAAATACTATTATTGTCCTTTCTAATTCCGAAAGTCTTAAGTTCAGGGTGGATTTGGTTCAATAACTACTAGCAAAGAAGTTCTTTTCTAAATTCCAAGTGAATTGGTTCAGATATTACTAGCGTTTGTCGTTATGTAAATGTTTTGTGAATGATCTTTCGGACGTAATATATCAATTGGTTGGTTACGATAGTTATGCGCGAGTTAGGGGCACATAACAGGTTGGCAAAAGTAATTGAAGTCATTTTAATTTTCAAGGATTTGGTTCAAAAACTACCAGCAAAGCTCTTTTCTAAATTTCAGTGGATTTGTCCTTTCTAATTCCGAAAGTCTTAAATTCAGGGTGCTCAGGGTGGATTTCGTTCAATAACTACCAGCAAAGAAGTTCTTTCTAAATTCTAAGTGAATTGGTTCAGATGCTGCTAGCGTTTGTCGTTGAGTAAATGTTTTGTGAAGGATCTTTCAGATGTAACATATCAATTGGTTGGTTACGACAGTTATGCGTGGGTTAGGGGCGCATAACAGGTTGGCAAAAGTAATTGAAGTCATTTTAATTTTCGAGGATTTGGTTCAAAAACTACCAGCAAAGCTCTTTTTCTAAATTTCAGTAGATTTGTCCTTTCTAATTCCGAAAGTCTTAAATTCAGAGTGCTCAGAGTAGATTTCGTTCAATAACTACCAGCAAAGAAGTTCTTTCTAAATCCCAAGTGAATTGGTTCAGATGCTGCTAGCATTTGTCGTTAAGTAAATGTTTTGTGAATGACTTTTGGACGTAACATATTAATTGGTTGGTTACGACGGTTATGCGCGAGTTAGGGGTGCGTGACAGGTTGGCAAAGGTAATTGGTCATTTTAATTTCTGAGAATTTGGTTCAAAAACTACCAGCAAAGCTCTTTTTTTTAAATTTTAGTGGATTTGTCCTTTCTAATTCTGAAAGTCTTAAATTCAGAGTGCTCAGGGTGGATTTCGTTCAATAACTATCAGCAAAGAAGTTCTTTCTAAATCCCAAGTGAATTGGTTCAGATGTTGCTAGCGTTTGTCATTGAGTAAATGTTTTGTGAATGATCTTTCGGACGTAACATATTTAATTGGTTGGTTACGATAGTTATGCGCGAGTTAGGGTGCATAACAGGTTGGCAAAGGTAATTGAAATCATTTTAATTTCCGAGGATTTGGTTTAAAAACTACCAGCAAAGCTCTTTTTCTAAATTTCAGTGGATTTGTCTTTTCTAATTCTGAAAGTCTTAAATTCAGGTGCTCAGAATGGATTTTGTTCAATAACTACTAGAAAGAAGTTCTTTCTAAATCCCAAGTGAATTGGTTCAGATGCTGCTAGCGTTTGTCGTTGAGTAAATATTTCATGAATGACTTTCGGATGTAATAAATTAATTGGTTAGTTACGACAGTTATGCGCAGGTTAGGGACGCATGACAGATTGGCAAAGGTAATTAAAGTTATTTTAATTTCTGAGGATTTGGTTCAAAAACTACTAGCAAAGCTTTTTTTTTAAATTTTAGTGGATTTGTCCTTTCTAATTCTGAAAGTCTTAAATTCAGGATGCTCAGGGTGGATTTTGTTCAATAACTACTAGCAAAGAAGTTCTTTCTAAAACCTAAGTGAATTTGGTTCAGATGCTGCTAGTGTTTGTCGTTGGAGCAAATGTTTTGTGAATGATTTTTTCGGACGTAACATATTAATTAGTTGGTTACGATGTTTATGTGTGGGTTAGGGTATATAACAGGTTGAGGTAATTGAATTCATTTTAATTTCCGAGGATTTGGTTCAAAAACTACTAGCAAAGCTCTTTTTTTAAATTTCAGTGAATTTGTTTTTTCTAATTTCGAAAGTCTTAAATTCAGGGTGCTCAGGGTAGATTTCGTTCAATAACTACTAGCAAAGAAGTTCTTTCTAAATCCCAAGTGAATTGATTCAGATGCTGCTAGTGTTTGTTGTTGGAGCAAATGTTTTGTGAATTAATTAATTGGTTACGACAGTTATGTGCGGGTTAGGGGTGCATGACAGTAATTTAAAGTCATTTTTTAATGTCCGGATTTGGTTCAAAAACTACAAGCAAAAGTCTTTTTTTTTAATTCCAATAGATTTGGTTCAATGCTATTATTGTTCTATTTAATTTCAGTAAATTGAGTCTGATAATGAAAGTCTTTTAATTAGATGGATTTGGTTCAAAAACTACTATCACACAAGTCTTTTCTAAATCCGATGAATTGTTCTTGCGAATAGCTTTTTACAGACGTAACATGTTAATCAGTTGGTTACGATGGTCATGCGCGAGTTAGGGGCGCATATTGAGTTGGTTCAAAAATTACTAAAACAAGTTTCTAAAAAAAAATAAAAATGAATTAGTCAAAAACAAGCAAAAATTCTTAAATTCGAATAGATTGTTTTGTTATCATAACGAATATTTTTTTAACTTTAATGAAGGTAAATTAAATATATATTTAGATAAATTATAAATATGCATATGTATGAAACTGCATTAATTTTTAGTATTGGTTATTGTAGAATTAAATTTTTGTATTGTTCTTTTATGTATGTATATACATGCATATACATACATAATTTATATTCTATTGTTTTATAATAATAGATTTAGATTAATATTATTATAAATAATATTGTAATTTAATTATATAAATCTATGTAATTATGTTATAAAAAATAAATTTATTTTTTAAATTTATTTTTTAAAATATTATTTTGTAAAAATGTCTAGCTTTTCATTAAATACAAGTATTTTTGAAGAAACTCATAAAGAAGATACACAATTGCAAACTGATCTTTCTAGTTTGCAATTTCAATATTCAGATCAAGAAAATATCAATTTATCAACATTAGATAATTCTGAAACTTTAGAAATTTCAGAAAGTAATCTTTTAGAAAATAAAATTTGGACTGA